AACAAACTTGTTATAACTAGAAGCTCTTGTTCGAGCTCTCTGACTCCTTGATCGACCAAGAAACGTCTTGCAATCAAGAGCTCTTATCAGAGCTGATTGACTCCCCGATCGACCAACAAAGTTGTTGTGATTGAGAGTTCTTATCATAGCCCATTGACTCCCCAACAAACCAACAAACTCTTTGCGATTGGGAGTTCGTATCAGAGCTCGTGCTCTCCCCGATTGACCAACAAACTCTTTGCGATTGGGAGCTCTTATCAGAGCTCATTGACTTCCTGATTGACTTACAAACTCCTTGCGATTGGGAGCTCTTATCAGAGCTCAGTAACTCCCCAATTGATCAACAAACTCCTCGCGATTGAGTTATTTCATTAGAGCTTATTGACGACCCAGTTTACCAACCAACTCCCTGCGATCTAAAGCTCTTATCAGAGCTTATTTACTCTTCAATTGACAGATGAACCTTTTTGTGATCGAAAGTTCTTTTCAGAGCTCATTGACTCCCCAATCAACTAAGAGACCTGTTGCGATTGGTAGCTCTTATCAGAGCTCATTGAATCCCCAATCAACCAACCAACTTGTTGTAACTGGATGCTCTTATACGAGCTCATTGACTCCCTGATCGGCCAACAAACTTGTTATAACTACATGTAGAAGCTCTTGTTCGAGCTCTCTGACTCCCTGATCGACCGAGAAACGTCTTGCGATCGGGAGCTCTTATCAGAGCTCATTGACTTCCCAATTAACCAACCAACTCCCTGCGATTGAGAGCTCTTATTAGAGCTTATTTACTCTTCAATTGACAGAACCCTTTTCCGATCGGGAGCCCTTTTCAGAGCTCATCTACTCCCCAATCAACCAACAGACTTGTTGCGATCAGGTGCTGTCATCAGAGCTCATGACTTCCCAATTGACCAATCAACTCTTCACGATTGAGAGATCTTACCAGAGCCTATTGACTCCCCAATTGACCAACAATCTTGTTGCAATTGGAAGCCCTTATCATAGCTCACTGACTTCCCAATTGACTAACAACCTTGTTGAGATCGGGAGCTCACTTCAGAGCTCATTAACTCGCCAATCAACTCTGATACTCATTACAATTGGGAGCTCTTTTTGGTGTTTATTGACTTCCCAGTTGGCGAGAAACTTCTTGAAATCAAGAGTTCTTGTGAGAGCTCGTTGATACTCAAATGGAACAATAAACTTCTTGTGATTGGGAGCTCCCATCAGAGTTCACTGACTCCCAAAACAACCAACAAACTTCTTGCAATTCAAGTGGGAGGTCTTATCAGAACTCATTTACTGCCAATTGATCCACAAACTTCTTGAAATTGGATTTTCCTTTCAGAGCTCAGTGAATTCGCATTTGACTAATAAAAGTCTTGCAATCGGGAAGTCCTATCAGAGCCTATTGACTTTTGGGAGCTCTTAACAGAGCTCATTGACACCCCTGTTGACCAATAAACTTGTTACGATCATAAGGTCTCATTAAAGCTCATTGACATCCCAGTTGACCAGTAAAATTCTTACAATCAGGAACTCTTATCAGAGCTCACTGACTGCCCAATCGACTTACAAACTTTTTGTGAATGGCAGCTCTTATCAGAACTCATTTACTTCCCGATTGACATACAAAGGATTTATCTCGTAGTGTCCTTCATGCTCAATTCTAATGAACTTAAGGGAAGCCGGACCATGTTTTTTGTAGCTGTCCCCAAAACTTGAACTGCGGTGATGAACTCTGTTTCTTAAATCTGCTGTAATAGAGATGAAGGTGTTTCGATATATCACTATTAAAAATGTGCAGATATGTTGTTGTCAGAACTTGCTTCTTGTTTGAGGTCCAGGCACCTAAGACCTTCCACTTCATCCTCAGCAAAGCTTTCATCAAAAGCTTATGTGCTTTGACTCCGCAAGTGACTGAATTTCCTTCAAGTAGTGTGATTGTTGATCTTTTCCTCTTTATATAAAGCAACTTCAATGGTGAGACATTTTTCAAGTGAACAACATATGCCATTTATTCTTTTTGGCATTTAAACTTTAGTTCACAAAATCAGGTTTTTTCGTGGTTGCCTTAGCAGCAATTGCCATGATAACTGTTACCTAAACAAACAAAATTATCCCACATAACTAACTGCCCAAGTTACATCACCTCTCCAAATTCTATATATATATTTTTGATTGAGTAGTTCCAGATGTATTGCTGAAAAATATCAGAACACATGAATATTGGTACTTCCAAAGTGACCTCACCACCCCGAATAGCAAGTCAACTAACGGAGTGATGTCATCCGGGCATCAAGCTGCCATCCTCTGATGTCAAACCTGTTTGGTAGTAGGGGTGCTACCACCAAAGAAAGGTCTCGATTGTTAAACAAATTCTCCCTGTGAGTTCCAAAAGAAATCTATGGAGAACATTAAGGAGACTAGGTTTACTGAAGTACCAGTAAGCATCTAAAGGGTTAACTTATATGTACATTCATGATTGATGTTTTGGTGCAGTGGAGGGCTGCTGATTCTGGGGATGAGAAGGAAACAGATGAAAGGGAGAACCATGGGCCAAAGAGGACAAATCAGCCAACAGTGGAACAAGTATTTTAATGTTTTTCATGTTTGTGTGTTTTCTTCTCATTTACTGTAGTTAGTGTTTGTTTTTGTTGTTATGGTTGTTGTTGTTTTTTTTTTAACTGAGGACTATTTTTGTTTGAATACTTATAGGCACCTCATCCAGAGATGAGTTCAGAAGTTGCAGATAGTGAGGTACAGTGTACACGTAAATTGGTTGCCTATCTTAAAGGCTAATACATTTCTGTGGCTACAGCAACACCCAATTACAGGGTTGCTTCAACCTTCTCACTCCCAGGAGTAACCAAAACGGAATTTTTCCTCTCACTTTCAACTCATCACAGATAAGAAAGATGTTTGGAATAAGGGCATATATCAGAAAGGGAAGGCTATTTGATTTAACAACAAATTCTCAGAACTAAAGTCATAAGAAATGTATGGCAAACAGTGAAGAGAATATAAATTTTCACTGTAGATCTTGAGAGTGAAAGAGGTGAAGGTTTGTGGACCCTATCCTATGAATATCTCTGTCATTTTCAAGTGCCTCTCTATTTCCTATCTGCCAAAGAAAAAAGTACTTTATCACTTGTCTCCCTCCATTTGACACATATTATTGTAATTAAAAGTACCTGCGGAAATCCCTTTAAATTGGTACTTTCTGTTTGATTTTAGGCTGCTTTAGCTCTTGCAAATGCAACTCAAGAAAGGTTGGAACTTGAGAATAAGTTGATGGTCTTAGAGGCAAAAAAGGAGCAGATGGACACTTTGCTAAAAGAGTTGCAGTCTCTCAAAGAAGCACAATTAAGAAAAGGTACTGTGTACATTTTCGAAACATTACTGTGATATTCTTGTCCTTGAAAAAGGGATCATAAAGAGTGTGTCATAACTAAACCGTCAAAGATTTCTTAGAGAAGGAGGAATGTAACAAATTTCTGGTTTACTGTGGTGTTCTGCTTAGTGCGTGGGGAAATTGCACGTATTGGGTGGTGATATGGGGGGGTTTCTGGGATGGAGAAGCCAAGTCATTCAGGAGGAGGAGCAGCATCACTCATCCAACAGAGCCGTGGATAGGCTGCGCATTTCGAGGCTGGTAGCGTAGTTTATCGTAACCTAACATAAGTGATTAGTTGGTTTTCGTGATCGTAACAGAGTGCGGTCTCTTAGAATCCTTAGACGCTGCTGGTGGTGCAAGTGCAAGTGTAAATGAGTCTAAACAAGAAGAGGATGAACCACTCGCCACTACATCTCAAAAGCTAGATGATGAGCGTATCCTAGAGGCTCTGGAAGTTCACGAAAAACTAAAGTAAGGACCATACGATGCTGGCCACTTCATAAACTACCACAAGGGTCTTTTTATGTGTAAGCTCAGCCTTACCTCGGCAACATCATCCAATTCTTCTTTTTAGAGTGTCACTCTTACAGGAACGTGTAAGAGCCTAGGATCCTTCACGTACAACATGTAGCATTTTGACTTTGTTTAGAAAAAATGCCGTAAAGAACTTGCATTGGAACAAACAGCCTGGCTAAACCCTTAGATCCCCAAGAGTGACTAGCATCTAAATTTTCCTCACAATATCACCCCTGAAAAAAACATCGAGGTCATGAGCAAAAAGGATATGATCATCAAATAAGGAAGCTCTTGATTATTCGACAAATTCTCCTCGTCAACACCTTAGGAAATGTAGAAAAAACAGCATGGTGTATTTGAATACAGATATTAGGGTGTAAAGGGTTAAGGGTACCGTACATCAAATGCTGCATGTACCAAACAGTGCACAATTAAGAGTAATGAGCATTGGGGTATTTCTTCGTGTGGCATGTGAACTCTAACCTAGAATATTTAGTGCTCTCTGCTTCGTGTATTTGAGACGTGGTACTTTTATAACTGCTTGAGACCTATGCATGCCCCTCATAAATTTTCTTTTTCTAACACAGAAGCTTGCAAGAAGTGAGAGATCGCTTGAGCCAGTTGCGGGAATTGATTGGTCAATATCAGGTGAGAAGTTACCATTGTGTTCAGCTACGTTTGTTCTATCCTTACATTAACCCGACACTCTTTCATTATCCACATAATTATTTTTGGTTCTGAGACACGTTTGGTGATTTTGTACAAGTAAATGAAAGACAGAAATTTATCGTCATATCAGAAAATCAATAAACTGGGTACAGTTGAAAGCTCTAACACAACTAGTATCAAAAACTAGTGCAAGTAACTCATAAAAACTCTATGAAATATTTGCATACTGAAACAAATGTATTTATATCTTTTCCATTGAATATAATTTTATTTTCAGCTTTAACAGTGCTGCATCTAGACAGAAGGCAGACATGATTTACACATTACTTTTTTTGTATTCTCCAGCCATCTTTAAGTGAGGTGGACAGACCAGAGAATGGGGCACAAGTCCAACCTGAAAGAGAACGTCTCAGCTTACCTGTTCAGAGCAGTGAGGAAGCGGAAGAAATGGAAGGTGCGGTCGGAGGAGCAACTGGTGGAACCGACGAGGACTTCAGCAGTATTGAGTGGATGCTTAGTGCTGGTGTGGAAGACCCTGATCTAATGGCAAAAATAAGGTAAAATGCAGCCGGCAGAGTACAGTACTGCTCTAATGATACAAGTACAATTCCCAACAGTTTCATGAAGCGAGTTTTGACATTCAACATTCGAGTTTCGAGACGCTCGAAGAACTTCTCGAGGATCATGATCTGCAATTTTGAGGAAAAGATTTATAACACACAAGACCGTTGCACCTTTTCAAATATTTTGATTTCACGCAAGACTCGTGCTCTAGACAAGGCGCTTTTTAGTGTCAATGGTACTAAACGCAAAATGCATCTACTGGTGAAGCCGCGTTTATAACACATAGTTCAAGAACATTTGAACTTTACGTTTACGAGCATGGTTAGTTTCCTAGCTGATTTCAAAAAGGGAGCCTATGTAGCGATCTTTTTTATCTTTTCCTTTTTGACAAGGGGAGATCCTATCAGGATTTGTGCAGAAAGGATATCAGAGGTGCATTGGGGGGGGGGGGGGGGGGGGGGGGGGGGGGGGGTGTGTTCATCCAGTATATTCTTGCTTCACTTTACGACTAAAAGGAGACAGATGTGGTTGCTTTGCAGATTACAAACGTCTTTAAGGAGGTGATTTTAGGTTTACCTTTCGTCAGTTTGCTTCAGTTTTTGAATGTTCTCCCTTTATAACTTTTCATTGAAGGACTGTTTCTGTACAATCCAAGGTTCTCCCTTAGTTGTAAAAATTTTGCCGGTTAGCATGGTTAATTAAAATTTTTCAGTTTAAGCTGAACATCGAGATAAGTTTCTAGAACATGTTTTATTTCTCCTGTACAAAGGCAACTTCAAGAAGCAAGGGCAAGGGTTACTCACCTGTTTAAACAAACAAATGAAAATGTTCAGGTATGTACCTGTGGGGAATGTATAAGTGCATTTTACGTTGCTTATCTGTATCTGTTGTAAAAATCTTATGATGTATATAATACGAAAAGATGCGGTGGACTACAGGCGGAATAAAATATGTAGTATTGGCCTTTGTGCTAAATGGTTTGGACAAAATAATGAGCTTCAGTGGGCTGTTTGCTTCCTTGGCAAGGATGAAAGCAACGTTGATATTACTGAAGTATTGCACCAAATATTAATTTTGACACTTCTGCTCTCCTTTCGATATTCTTTGAGCATTTTTAAGTGTTTCGCATTCTTTGTAGACGTCACCCGCTAGGGTGAACAATGAACCTGTGCAGACACAGGCTGCAGAGGAAGACTCTGAGGCAGAGACCCAGACGGACACTGATGCTGAAAGTGCAGTGAGTGGCGGTAGTTCAAGTGTTAATGCCTTAGCTTGGCAAGATGATCCTGAATTTCAGGCTAAAGTCAGGTGAGTTGAGAACATTTTTAATCGTTATAGACTGATTTTATTATTATATTTCAGGCTTCAATCCTTTTCATTGGTCTTTGGGACCCCTTTACTTTCGAAAACGTATGGTAAAAGCCCGTACTTGATAGTCCTTCATATGTGTTTACGGGAATTAATGAAGCCTTTTCTCCCGAACAATGTTACCAGCGAAGGTAATGATTGCAGTTGATATAATTAACATAACAAGAGGAGCGATGAGTGGAACTCATTGATAAAAAAATAGACTTTCCGTCGCGTATGCTTTTGGAGTAGCGTCTCATTTTTTTTCTGGATTATAGATCTGAAATGACTGCTTAAATTGCGGAAAGCATTTCTACTCGTGGTTTTTGTTTTGTTTTGCTTTTTTTGTTTTTCTGTTCTATTTTGTCTTTTGTTTTTGCTTTCCATTCGTTCAATGAAACCAGTAAAATATATTCTCATTTTCTTTTTTCATTTAATATCGCCTAGGAAACTGAATTCTGCCAAGCAGAAGTTAAAACAGCTTCAAGAACTTGTCAAGAAAATTCAGCAGGTATAGCTAACTTTTGATAAAGTAATGCAAAGTGCAGTATTACTCACTTATATGTTTACAATTTTTATGAAATCCAAACAACACCCTGACACAGTGTTCTCTACTGGTCATTGCCTAAAGGTTTAGCGAATTGGAGGCTTGTGTTTGCGTATGAACTTGCGTGTGCGTGCGTACCCGTGTGTCTGTGAATGTATTGGATAATTTCTTCCGTTAATACCACTCGCTTTTTAATACCATGTTAGCGTTCCATGAGTATTTTCGACCTTGCAAAACGTGCACTAAGATGTTCCCCAGGTAGACGTGGTATTTTCCACGGACATGGTTTAAAAAATATTATGTAACTTTGAGCATGATGAAAGTAAGTGACAAACTGTCCGTGATAGAAAGATTTTTTTGTTTAGTTTCCGGAATCCTCTCAAACGCTACCAGCAGAGTTGGCAGAGCTAAGCTTCGATGAAGACGATTTCGATGATGACGACGACGATGATGATGATGACGACGATGATGACGACGAGGAAGCAGAAGAAGATGAAAATGACGAGGATGGAGATGAAAGCAACAGATCAGAGGCTTCCTATGACAATGAGCGAGGGAATGTGCAGAATGATGGTGAAGAAGTCTCTACGGCTACTGAGGACGAAGATGCTGGTGAAGATGTTCCAGCTGCAGCAGCTCTCAACAGAAACAGAATGCTGGATCTTGAGGGTTAGTTTCTTGGTATACTTAAGCTGTTTCGCTAAAGACACCGCTTTTCCTTCTCTGAGATGTGAAATGTAGCAGGAGGTATTTGTATTCTTGTTTGTGCTGGAAAGTTCTCGACCATTGTTGACTACGGAGAACGGAGAACGTTTCCCCCTAAGGAAAAGTTCCAACCAAAGTTGCGACCTCAACTTGAAAGGGATGACCCGTTTTATCAATGAACAATCCAAATAAAATATCCATGTTCTAATTTACGTCCTCAGTTACTGAAACTGCTAATTGTTTCTTATTCCAGGAGAGGACTATCACATTTTCACGTTCAATACACATTTTAAATTTCTGACAGTCAGTGTGCGGAATGAGTGCCGGGTAACGGAAATTATTTACCCCCAGGTGGTTCATTTACACGTAGCATTTCAAAAACTCTTCAGTATGCATCAAGGCCCGCTACTTTTGAAAGATTCCGGTATAATTATGCGACTGAATAAGTGATGACAACGTATTTCTGCAAAGACGGTTTATTTGTATTCAGCGACAACCTTGTGACAACATTTATAAAACAAGTTGTTGAAAGTGATAATCAATGTTTGTAATACAAAATAGGCAATATTCGAATATACTCTTGAGGTATGTAAGATGAAGTGACTTGATTTCCTTGTAACAGGAAGTGACCAGGAAGCAGTGTACCAGAGGTATTTGCAGAAACAAACGGCAGAGCTTGAACAACTGCAGCAGGAAAGACAAAGGTTACTGAAAGTTCAGGAAGAACTGGCTAGAATAAGCAGGCAGTCTGGAAATCACAAGACAGCGTCAACACAGGTATAAAAGTAATGGGTTACCATAACACTCACAGCCGCACGTGGGGTTGTGGGGTGGCGGGTTTTGGGGAGACTACATGCATAGCCAGGTGTGGATAGGCTCCTAGTCTTCTATTTATTGCTATAGAGTAATCAATCAACATTTCCAGAAGTGATCCCCATGTAACTTCCTCTTATCATTTTCAAAACAATCTGCAGCGTTTGGTCGGGGCGAGAATTGAAAGGCTTAAGCAAGAAACAACGCCAATTTCTTTATACATTATATACAAGGAGATGATAGAATGTTAGCAGCTAAACTAGACGATCGAGGGTCTTGTATGGGGAGATTAAGTTACACGATTTACGTATTTGTTCTTGTACACAACTGAGTGAAAAAGGATGGAAACGTTTCTTTCAGGGGCATGTGTCAATAATTTTTTTTTAGTAAGAACATAGAACGTTGAGCATCGATATGAACTTTCTCATCAGTTTGAATATTAATTATCGTTAACACTTTTTTTAAAAATTTAATCTTAAGTAAATCATCTTCTATGTGTTGTATCACTCTCGTAATAAACCATTCTGAGCGTATCTGGAGATTTCGCCGATTACGAGTTCGCCCAACCTCGACAAGTTCGCCGCTCAGGAACGGTTAAGGTGGGGGCGAAGTTATTCTATTCGTAACGGATCAAAAACTCCTTTAAGAAACGAAAGTGAGCTTAATTTATAGATCGAATTTATCGCTTCCTTCAATCCAGTTTGGATTTGAAATGCTCGCAAACCATTTTATGACCAAGGCTTTCTCTTTCAGACATTTCAAGCTTCCCAAGTAAAGCCACAAAAACCCGCGACTGCAGGAATAATGCTCAGAACTGGTGCATTTGCCACCAGCGGAGGAGCTCTCTCAAAGAGACCAGTCATGATCCACGCGCCAGTGAACAAGGAAATTTCAACGCAGACACCATTTTATGGTTCTGACCTGAGGGTTGCAAGATCTGTAGACTCAAGTGAACCCCCAAGAGGTGTGTTAGTCGGTAGTGTATACACGGCACAGTAGACAGAATGACCTCGCACACGACTATGAAGTTAGAGTTGTTTTAGACTGACTGTCATAAAACCAAAACCAAAGGAATCATCTAGCCTAAGACTAATCTTCTTATCCTAATTACAAAGAGAAGAGAAACGAGAGCAGCACATTCTTGGGTCAATTGTGGAACTAAGGTGAAGATCTGCCCTTGGCCTAAGATTTGTTGGTTTTGCAGCGCGCGCGCAAATAAGACCCATACTTATTGCAAAATGGTAATAAAGATATCCATCCAAACGAAAGTAGGGATGAAGTGACAGGCTAATGTAGTAGAAATCTTGTAGGAAAAAAAAACAAAGTCGTTGGCGAAACTGTCAAAAATTCATGTGAATTTGATTACAGCTCGTCCAAGTTCGTTGGTGTGGTCAGAACTGAGACGTCAGAGAGAACTGCACGAGGAAAAGCTAAAGAAAAGAAAACAAAAATTTCTAGAGAAGCGAAAGAAGTCGGGGCTCGATGATTTGTCCGAAGGTGGGACATACTCTGTGAGGAGTGGAAGGAGTGGTGACATCGATGAAGGGTTTGGTGTGAGTATGATGAGTGCTGACATTACTACTGCTACCTGGGGCGGCTCAACTCAACCTAGCAGTACCCAGAATGATTCAGCAGTGTCCGCCGATGAATCTGACGAGGAGAACGAGGTGGCACAGGTAAAGCATGTATGAACCTGTGGCTTCCTGAAAGGAATATGACTTTGCAGTAGCGCGTGGTAGGAATGGCACTTTAGATCGATGTTGATCTTCTCTGCCTGCTCCTTGTTTTTTCACGTACTGTTTTATTTAGAGGTTTTATTAAAAGCCGATTACAGACCGCCGCCTTTAAGACTTGGTATCTCTGTCTGTTTAGCTTGCGAGCAGGCTCTCGTGTTTGGGTTTCACATTACGACCCCTTTCCGGGTACAGCTGCCTATTACACCATCGGCAGCTACTTATGGAAAACAGCTGACAAAACTCCTGATATGATAGTGGTAAAAACACTAAAATCGCTGGAGAACGCATCCGACCGGCAGAGTCTTATACATGCTTAAGACTTGCTCACTCCAGAAATGACACACTATTCTTAAGTTTCAAAATGATAAAATCTATCAACGATGATATTTTGTTCCTCTTCAGTAGCGACTTCTTGTCTCTATCGTTACCGTCGATTGACTCGTTTGGCTACTTTTTCCCTTAAATTAGTCTTTTTTTGTGTCCTTGGGAGTGATACTTTATTGAAACGTTCAACGATTGCGGATTAACCGGTTTGCAAATTACGTTAAAGCATGTTCTCTTGGTGCAACATTTAACTTTGTTTCATTAAAGATCGCCGTGGAAGTAGAAGATGATTATCCGGACGGAATCGTTCAAGCCGAGGAGGAGGAAGAGGAGCGTCTTGAACCGGAGGCTTTCTCAGGATCAGCTCAGGCAGTGTTTAGAGGCAGAGAGAGAGTTCCTCGTATGACCACCTTTAGGGGCAGTGTAGATAGCACCTCCCAACCCAGTAGCGGCAAGAAACGCAAGATTGATGGCACGGCAATATCTGGTATGACTTAAATATTTGCGGTCGTCTACTAGTTAATGAAGATTTTTATTTTGATATATTTATCCTGTTTTTCCAAGCTTTAAGAGTCGTTATTACTTTCTGGCTGCGCAATTTGTTTGTTCAGCGTTCTGTCAAGCAACTATCTCGTTGTCTCCAAATTTGCGAGATTAGAGTTTCAGTTTTATAGAAACAAAAATCGAGACGTGAGGGAAAGGTGTATTTTTGGACTCCAGCTCTGTTAATTACATACATAGTATACAGTCAATTCTTAGTTTGTGTTTCAGACGGAATACGTTGAAATATAGTTTTTTTCCTCCCTCGCAGTTTTTCCCTAATTTACCAAACAAGGTGGCGTGACTTACCTCTCATTACCTTTTGCAGTACTCTGTAGTCTCGCTCTGTGCTTTTGTCAAGACATTAAGTGTTCGTCTAACAACACATGGATTTACGATCATACTTGTGCGTGTCCTTAGAAATATCCGAAGTCCATTTTAGATCTAACTTTTGGGTAACGAGAAATGCAAGCACTCGTGTCACAATCTCTACTCTTACTTAAGGTGGAGCTCGAAAAAGGGAAAGAGAGAGAGGCCTCACTTTTGAAGACTGGCCAAGAACATTCTATTTTGATAGGAATTCACGTGGAAGAATAAGACAAGAGGTACGTTCCATAAAACTCTTAAAATTCAAACAAAAAAGTCCATGATTGTCTTTTTTGGCATACGAACCGCAGTGATTAGAGTCTGAAATGAAAGAGATATGCATTTACGAGTGAGTGAGGAAGCAGAATTGTGTAGATCGGAGGAGTAGTGAGTGAATAGCAAGTCTTGTTGATAAACTTGAGTTTGATCTAGTCAGAACCGTGAATGTTGTTGGAAGCTGAGAAAGAATGTCCGCTAGATGCTAACTTCAAGATATATCAAGAAAATATTGCCTTGAGATTTGTTAAACCGGCATCAGGGGTTTCACCTAAAGCCGGTTACTGGCGGTCTCCCGTCGCTTTTGAGCCCTCTTACCGCCGTACGTTTAGCTTGCCTCGTGGCACAGCCGCCGACTACGCCATCGCCAGTCGCTTATGGAAAAAGTAATTGAAACCCCTGCTAGAAGGATCTCTCTAGTAAGCGTAAGCACCTCAATTACAGTTCCTCTTAATTTTCTAAAGTAAAGTTTTAATGTCGGATTCATGATACGCTGCAACCTTTGTGGTTGTTACGATCTGAAATGGCTAAAGGTGTTCAATATTCTTCTTTAGAACTTCACGCCAGCTGAGCAGCTCATCAAGGAACGAGAGCAGGAACAGTTTAACATGGAGCGGCAGGCATGGGAACAGCACTGTGAGCGTCTGCACCAGGAGGTGTCCGACCTCTCCACTCTGTGCAACGGACTCCTCAGAGATCAACAGATGCTAGTGTCTACAGTGATTGGCAGAAGTGTTCCTTCCGGACCAGCGGCAAGCCCGAATTTGGGTAACATCCCAGGACCTAGTGTCGGTAGACTTATTCATATCCATTCCCTTCATGTAGTTTCATGTGTATCTTGCTTAACTGGCGGAGTTGCTTGCGCGATGACGAAATGCACTTTAGGAAATCGCTTTTTACGCAACTGACAATCGAAGTCATATCTAGGTAAGATTTTCCCGAAATGAGACGTTCACGCCAATAAACGATCGTTAACTTTTTCAAAATCTTAACTTATTTAATTGCCTTGGAAATGTAATCCTTCGAAAATGATAACTCCACTGATTCGGGAATGTTAATTAATTAGCAACAAACTTATTCTGGACGTACATAATGTTACTTAATTCTTCTCTGAACTATTATCGATACCCAGCCTTATTTTCTACGGTTCAGGCGGAAATCCATTCGAGCAATATCAACAAAGGCAACAAGAAGCTTATCAAGGACTTCAAAGCTTCTTTGATCAACAGCGTTATATGCAGCAGCAACACCAGATACTGCAAAGCCTCAACCAGTGTTATTCACAGCTTCAGCAGCAACATCAAGATATGGCGACCCTTCAACATCAATTCCAGCAGCTGTTTACGTACAACCCCTCCGCTGCAGGAAGTGACCACAATCCTTCACCACACAGACCTCAAACTGTGACTCCTAGCGTTTTAAATAATGCGTCTCCCTCCTTCATGAGTCTGCCATCGCATAGTGTTTTGCAGCCTCCCTTATCTGCGCCTCTGGTTAGCCAGTCACCTTTTACCAGTGCATATCAACCGCCATCTTCCGCACCTGTGTTCAGAACTTCTTGGTATCCTCAGTTTGGTCAGGTGGGTGGGTAGCAGTCTCTACGTTCAAGGGAAAGGATTAAAAAAAGAGCAGTTTTTGCAAAATTGCCACGGAACCGTCTTGTGCGTTAAGTAACACGCGGCATAAGTAACTCAACAATGTTGCGTTTGGAAGGAAAATCTTTAAAATAACTGTGACCGTTACATAAAATTCAAACTTATATTGCAGCAAGAATATGATAGTTATTTGAACTAAATTGAATGAATAGACAAATTAATGAGTAAATAGATACGTGATTCTCTGAATACGTATATAAATGAATGAGTGGATGGTCAACGAAATAATCAGAATGGTTTTTTGACTGGAGAGAGCATGTGGCTTACAAATAACATGTCTCAAATAAAATATTTCGTGCCTTCCTTTTCCGATGAATTCTATTTTTCTGACCATTTAATAAGAACGAAACTATCCATTCATTTCGCTAGTTGAACATTTTTCGAGTTGTTTCATTCACTATTTGGTTAATGTATATTGTTATATAGCTTTGGGATTTACAATCACCATCATTAGTCCCTTCGTCATTGATGCAGTTTGTTTTGTCTTTCCAGCAAACCACATCTACTGATCCACCACGACAAGCTATGCAGGAAACTTTCAGTGTGAACCCAGACACAGGCATACCAAGTCCAAGGTCTACTTCACACCGTGGGCATCCTGTTGAACCTGCTCCCCCTCCACCCACCTCGTCAGGCACGGGAAACCCTGTAATGGTAGTTCGAGAGGTGGGACCTAGCGCGACAGGAGTGGGTCTGTCTCCTGGTAATGTTAGACTTGAACGGAAATATGATCCGAGTTCTTATCAAGGTAGATACATGCAGTGATGCTGGATTTGACATTTAACCATGGGCAGAAGATGGTTCCCTAATTTGTCACGTGTGAACTTTCTCGTGTCGTTTAGTCAATTATTCACGGCTCTAGTTTTTATACGGAAGACAAGCAAGAATGTTTCGTTAAATCCGCGGTGACTTTTGAGCGTTTATATATATATATAGTCATGAATCAGTGCACTTTGTGCATCTTTCAGAACCGACATCTACAAGTGCAAACGTACCGAAAACAGGGAGCAGCCCAGATGTGATTGGTCGCACGTTTAACACACCTCTTAGAGCAGCCGCCGCGGCCGACCTAGCACAGAAAGATAAATCAGCCTCGAGGGGTGCAGGATTCAGTTTAGCCCAAAAACTCGCAGCTGAGTCAGTAGAGACGTCTTCAAGAGCTTCAAGTGTGCCTGGAGATGCACAGGATGTTGCGAAAGGGTAAGCGAACATATATCTTTTATTCGCCAGCCGGGAGGTCCGTATTGAGAAAAACTTTGCCCTCTGTCTTGGGTACGCCCTCGTCCTACGGCCTCGGGGCCTAAACTTATTGAAATGCGTACCAAAAGAACCCGAATTGAATTTAAGATTCAAAAGGCTTCCAAACAAACTTAGACACATTTTTTTAACAAGCATCTGTCACGATCTGACACCTGTCAATTAGAGAGCGCGCAACAAAGCAAAGCGCATGTACTCTCTTGGGAAAAAAGGCAACCACAACAAAAAACGGTACTGGTTTGGCACACAAACTCAAATTCAATTACTGTCACGACAATTTTTTCTTCAAAAGCATTCAATGATCTCATGGAGAGTATTATTCACTTTCATCGATGATTAATGTACGAACTAGAATACCTCTGATCAGTCAGTTAATGGTAAGGAAAGTAATTGTAAATAAATTAACCCTTCAACTCCTAGATCAAATTTGTTACTCTTCTTACTTTCAACCATACAATTCTTATATTGTTAATTCAGAGAATTAAATATTAGATCAACTAATTATCCCCAAATTGATATTTTTCTTGTTCTCCTCACTTGCCTGGTTGATATTGTATTGATATTGTTAGGAGAAATTCTGTCTTGGTCACTCATGGGGGTTAAAGGGTTAAAATGCATGTTGTTGTGGGACTCTGCTCGTTTGTTTGCTGCATGGCGTGTATAAAATCTGGTCTTTCTTCCACCGAAAAACTAAAGTCAAATGAGACACTATTTTCCCAGTGGGAATTTAGTGCGGCCTTTTCTCGTTGAATTCCATCGGTTTGTGTAGTGCGATTTACTGTACAAATGACCACATTGAACATACTTGCAAAGACTTACGGAGAGCGTATTTGTAGTGGGACTGAAGACTTCGCTCACCGTTTTACAACTAAAAAATTGTTTCAGATAATTGAATGAATGAAAATTCCGTAGATAGATTTAATTGTAAACAAATACCTAACATTTAAAGACTTGTGGCCCTCCATCCAGAATACGTTAAGAATTTTTTTCAGCCCAGGCTTATTACCGGTAGTTTACGGTATGTCTTAATAATTTGATTTAAACAGAAGGATGGCGATGCCAAACGACTCGTGGTTTTGTCATTTTAATAGCTTAGATAACATGGCGACCAAATTACATGTAAACTAGGGATAATCAAATGCAATCATTTAGTTTTCATTGAAAATGTTCAGAGCAAAGTTGAATAAAACACTGTTTCCTTTCTTCCTCATTTTAACTCTTTAGGTCTTGGCAAGAGGCAGATAGGTAGGATCAATTCGTTCAATTTTATACTACGTTTCTGATACATATACTTAGTTATCTTAACCTATTAATGCATCGTACTGAAATCCTGCAGGGCATCAGAGGCAGGCAGCGAGTTTTCACTTTTTGAAGCACTCAGAGACTCTATTTATTCCGAAGTTGCAACGCTCATTTCTTTGAACGAATCCAGACCACATTTCTTGGTAAGCACTGATTGAACTTTATTCAATTTTTTAATTCTTGTATTTAATGTTGAAAATAAGAAGTGGCAAAGACTCCGCTAGTGGCGAAGTATCTAGGGTTTAAACGTAACCTCCTTTTCAGTCTGGTCACCGAATTATAACGCGTTCATGCGCATGCCCCTTCTCGCATTATTAGTCAACACTAAGCAAGATAGTGTTTGTACATAGCTCACTCTGCTTATTACCTAACTTTCCATTAAAAAGCCTAAGTATGGCTAAAGTGTGGCGCTAATTTTTTTTCTCCAGCTCGAACTGTTCAGAGAATTACAGCTATTAACATCAGATTACTTAAGGCAGCGTGCGTTGTACGCCCTACAAGATTTGGTAACAAGATTTTTAACTGAGGACTCAGTTGGTGCTGAAGGAGGGCCTCTGCAGCAAGCAGTAAGGATACTTTAGTTTAATATCTAGGGTTTGTTTCGTTCGTCGTCGCTTTATTTGTTATTCAATCTGTTGTCGGTATGCTTTTGAGCTCTCCTTTCCGCGAGCTCGCTCTTTCACTCATGACTTTACTTCTTTGTTTCTCGTGTCTCGGACTGCGTATTTATGTCTCGTTGCTTCTTTATCCATTCGTGTATCTTTTTACAGCGATTTCAGGAATGGCTAGGTTCCAATTCTGAACTGACTCCAAGTGAAACAGTAGAGACATTTGAAGACGACGAATCTGAGGTGAGATGAACTGTGCACCTGGAGAGGTCGTTACTTTGTATCTGTCTCTTGTACCAGTATCATGTCAAAGGATCATTGAGATTGAAAGTATAAAAACCTTTAACCTCTTAAGAGTGACCAGCATCTAATTTTCCCCGCATTATCACCCCCGAATCAAAAAATAAGGTCACGAGATTAAAGTAAATAATCACCAACTAGAGAAGCTCCCCATTCTTAATCAAATTCTCCATGTCAAGACCAAAGGAAACAAATAGAGATCAGTATGGAGAATATGCATACTGATGTTGAGGTATAAACGGATAAGAAAAGGACCTTCGTGAGTGTTCGCTAAATACAGAATGACCTCCCTACACAGCTGTTGATTGTTCAGCTCTAACAACGTGTAGAACAGGGTGAGTAATAGTCAGACTGGCTCTCTCGTCTGAATGGAATACCGGTTAATTTCTTTAATAAATAATTTTTTTGGGTTGTTGTTTTTTTTTACTTTGCTACTTTGTAGACGAGAGAGGCTGCAGTCCCAGCCGAAACGGTGACAGAAGGAATCTATGACTACGCAGAGAATGTCGAGTCAGGAAGCACCCTCTCCACACCAACATCGAGTCACGCTGGTGAGGCACCCTTTGCGTCTGAAGGTCTGGGAGACACTGTCATTCACCTCGACAAGGTAAGCCGCGTCAAAAGAATATCAATGCTGGTGATACAATATAATCCGGGCTGAACTTTAAATAAAGGCTATGTATATCTACTATGACTGGTTAGTCAAGATCGCTCCCTTTTACCCGATATGTAAATTCCCAGCGTCATTCTGTACTCCAATGGAAAATGCATGACCAGAAGGAGAAATTTCCTGGGAAGAGGGCTTATTATTTTATATCTATTGATTCGTGTGGTCAATGCTGACTTATGGAAGGAGCCTTTAGAGTTAAGTAAAGGTTAGTTCTTGTACCTATCTTTGAAGGCTCTAAGCAGGATGCGTGAATATGAGAGACTGAGAACTGAAGGGAAACTGACTGAACTTGTGTCTGGTGCTGCCTTGTTAAAAGGGGACAAACACGTCAAAGACGACGTCACCACCAGCTCTGCTGGAGACGTAGGAAGCGAATCTTCGATATCGGATGTTCAGGTTAGCCCTGTTAGCACGCTTTCTCAAAAATATCAGTTGTTCTGTTTCATATAGCTGTTTTCTATGTCTTACGTTGCGCAAGTACGTTCGTTGCCATCAAGTAATAATTGTGCCGGTCGTTATGGCAAATTTGTCTCCATCGACCCCACTCTGAGATTCACTTCTGCAACCTGCCAATTCGGCGTTTGTAGGGGAAATGTTGTGTATCGTTAAATTATCCAACCTTTTTTTCATAGTATCCAAGAATCGACACTCAAGCCCTGGACCATCTCATTAAGTCAATCATGTCGGTAAGTACATTGAGAGCACTCAACACTTCCTGTCCCCAAAAAAAGTTCCAAAGTAAGCATTTTTTTAAAAAATCTCATAAGATCACGTGGTTTTTGTCACTTTCCACCTTATGTTCTACCCTAAGTTCGTTTAGTGACGTTGGAAATGTTAATTAGTTAGCGTTATTTAGCCCTCTTTTAAGAGTAAGTGCCTTTTTTCTGTGCAAGTGGCATCGTTATTGGGTTTCGTTCCATAACCTTAACCATGGACGTATCCTAGTTTCCTTAACCTTTAGTGACAAGGGGTTCTACCACCTCCCTCAGTGAACGGGATGTCAGTCCACCGCAGGTAGTAAGTCAGTTTTTCCTCGCAGCTTTTCGAAACTCGTGTATACCTCTAGTTTAAGAGCTAAAGAGAAAGTTTACTGTCTCGTCCAAGAACGCAACACAACGATGTGGCCTGGGCTTGAGCCTTGTGCTCTTGTAGTTCAAATAAATGAAACTGACAATATGAATTCCTACGAATGCCCTTGTAAGTTTCTGAAGTTAGATTTGGAAACGAGAAATAGTTTCGAGACACTTATTTGACATTCATGGTGGTCATGAATTTTTTAGGAGGTAATACCTTGTTTGAATGAACACATGGAGGATACATGCACATCTGATCTGTTGGGTTATATAAGAAGTCTGGTGTTATCACGGATTCAAGTTAATGAAGATCAGGTAAGCTTACTTTTATTCTACAATGGAAAATTGGTGTTCTTATGTTACTTTTCTTACATAAAAGCCATTCTGCGGTCTTCTATTCCATCATAACAAGTTTGAAATTGACTTTTTTTTTTTCTTTTTTTCTCACATTTAAGGAGTTTGGAAGGTTCTTTCACAAACAGCTGGCTTCCATTCTTCAGGATTCCTTATCAAGATTTACTGATAGAACGTGAGCTAACTCCTGTTGTCTTTTTTCAGAATTTAATTTTGGGGTTACTTTTACCGCTTTCCTATGCCATTGTTTTCCCTTTAACTCCTTGGAGTGTCGAAACTTCTAAATCTTTCCAGATATTGTCACCATTTGTAGTAGCGTTTCAGGAACAGTTCCAAAAAAGAGGAACTTGACTTAAAACGCCTTTCTTTCAATGACTTTGTCTTGTTAGAATGAAAGACTGTGGCGAGGATATGCTTGTGGACATGTCTGAGATTTTGTTCAACGAGTTGGCGTTTTTCAGGCTTATGCAAGACTTAGACGGGTGAGAATTTC